TGTCGACGGCCTCACCGCGACCATCGCTCTCATCCGCGCTTTGCGCCGGTATCTGTACCACTGGAATGCACGACTTGCGACAAGGCTTAACCTACCGCCTTTGATTCCTCCCGATTCCGACGCTTACGTCGACGTGCTTGCCTGCGACAGTGGCTCGGTTCCAGGTAGGAGGTGCGAAGCCGTGGCTGACGGTAGTTGTACTCCTTCTCCCGCCTTCTTCTGCTATAATGGTAGTGATAAACGCGTAACCGGCGGCAAGGCGGGTAATGTAACTTCCTTACTTTCGCGCTGAAGTCCTTGTTGTACGTATAGCTGTTTCGATATGCTCTCTCAGGTCCCACGTTCCGACTCTCAAAACACTTTCTCTGCTGTGCACTAGTTGTAGAGCCTGATCTTCTTGGTAGGCGTGTTGTTGATATCACGTATGCAAGGGCTGTCCTCATCAAGCTTGTTAGCGTCCTGATCGAGTGATGGCGGACGACCGACATGAATCCTCCCTTCCTCAGAGGACAAACAGTACTGCGGTAGAGCAGGTAGTTCGACCGAACATTGTTGTTTTTGGTTCCTTTTATGAAGCAGATTGTACAACTGCTCAGTCATCGGCGGCGACTTTCTCACTTATTGTCACATTTATGCTCATTGGGAGAGCGGCAGATTCAAGGAGTTAAAGGCTTTGGATGCTCCATGAACCATGAGGGTCGGAGTCCTGTCGGAGTCTGGACTCTGAGGTGATAACTACGGATGATCGAAGATCATGATCAATTTCTTCATCTATGGCTGGAGAACATCCCTACCGGACTATAATCGGGTACACTAGGTCTGCCTCGCCAGCGTTTACGGCGCGGCAGTGGCTCGGCCATCTTGCGGAGCTCTAAATATGCAGTGTTGATTTCCATCTAGGGTTGGTAATTCTTGTCGCAAAAACCGACCATAGGCTCAGAAAGCGTCCAGTTGGCGACCTACATCCCTTCCTTCGGCGCGCGTAATGCTACTTTCCAAATGGCCGACGTTCGTCAATATGTTGTTGCCGGGTTTCAAGCGCCCCAGCGCGTTCCGTCCAGAAAATGACTTTACGCGCTCAAGCTTCTCCCCTGGGACATTACGCATATTTGCCTCTATTCAGACCTCGACGAAGCCCAGGCCGAGGTGAAACCTGCGAGAACAGCCTCTCCAATTCGCATTGTTGATTCAAGTGGTGTCCTAACTGGAACGTTACTTGACGTCCAGGAGTTCGAGGTTATTCGATGCCTTGGGGCTAGCAGCTGTTCTGTTGTCTACCCTGTGCGCGAAATCTTGTACTGCCCTCCTTCGATGGATGCGCCCATTATTATTGGAGAAACCGCTGGCATGGGCAGGGATAGAGGCTCCAAGGTTTATGGCGACGAGTACGCGATCAAGTGTGTATCGAAGGCAAACCTTGATGAGAGGGTTCCATCAGCGCTGATATCCGGTGTACGTTCCTCGAAATCTGTTGTTCGTACTCCCACTAACTCTCAATTCGCACGCTAATATCATTGCTCTTCATCGTATCCTTGAGACGCCCTCAGACTCGCTGATGCTTCTGATTTTGGAGTACGTTCCTGGCGAGAATCTATCCAGTTTCCTTGAGCATGCCGTGATCATGACGGAAGCGACTTCCCTACCTGCAAGGATCCTTTCGCTTCCTTGCTCACTACATTAACTTCAAGTCTTCTCTCTCAACTGCATCCCTCCCAGCTCCTTTCTTACACATGTGCCTCATATCTTCCATGTTCTCCCAGATGTGTGAGGCAGTCACATAGTGTCATGACCAGCAGGTCTTCCATCGCAATATCCAGTCAAGGAGCTTCATTGTCAGCGACGCTTGGCAGACCGTGGCTGATGGGCGCCAGGAGCGTCACTTCATCGTCAAGCTAACTAAACTTGAAGCGTCGACTGCCGGTGATGTTGATTCGTTCGCGCCGGACTGTGATAACACGCCATACATGAGCTACGGAAGGAAGGAAGGAAGGAAGTGTATTACTCAGCTGGGTACCGAAGGCACTGCTGAGGTGTAAGGACTATCTACTATGGCTATTGTACGTCCCTACGCCAAACTCCGGTATGTTCTATGTCCTTCAAAAATACTAAACGCTTACCTCATTTTCTAGAATGCAGAAACAACGCCGCCTATAGCCCCCCTTCGTACAGCAGATGTTTGGTCATTGGGTGTTGTGCTGATTAACATGTTCGCTCCGTGGACGAACATCGAGTACGTACCGCAATCCTTGGCCCAAGAGGTGATGAATAGGCTTCAGTCGGTACGTACTGGCTGTTGACGTTATCTCATCCCCGGGAGTTCTGACCTTTCAATGTTCAGAATCTTGACTTAATTCCGTCTGGCGACTCTGAGGGCCGACCGAGATTCATCAAATGTCTTCGTTCCTTGAGTACACTATATGATATCCTTCCCGCCCAGTTGTATCTACCTGCCAGTGATATCGGCGAGCGCGACAAAGACATGCTCGTTGGAGGTGCATTTTCAGTAGGTTCTTTTATCCAAACAGCAGACGATGCTCACTTCCCTTAGGACATCTGTCGAGCTAGGTACCTAGGAGAATCGGTATGCTTGAAGGTACTCCGAATACATAGTCAAGGAAAGTTACGGATGGAACGTGTGATGAAGGTGAGTCTACAATGCACTTCTACATGCCTACTAGATAACAGTTACCAGGCGTTCTGCCAAGAAGCGTTGATAGGGCGGCAAGTCTCCCACCGGAATATTCTACCTTTCTATGGCGTCAGCACTGAAGTCTACCCGGGACGCCTTTGTTTCATCTCGCCGTGGATGGAACATGGCAATATCAACAACTTCTTGGAAAGTCATCCGCACCATGACAGATGGCAATGTGTTCGTCAGTTTCATCGAGTGAACGAACAGTACAGTAATATCTACTTTTTGCAGATAGCTCTGGGATATCGCAGGTGGCATGAAATATCTACACGGCCTCAACCCCTGCGTGATACACAAAGACATACGCGGAGTGAGCACCGTAAACGCACATCTCTCACAGACCATTGACGTCGCCTTCCTCAGGCGAATGTTCTTGTAGGAAAGGACTTCCGTTGCTGTCTGGCTGATTTCGGGATAAGCCTCGTCGTTGAGACTCAGCTGCCGGAACATCGACACGAAACCAAGGAAACATTCGATGGCTTCCTCCGGCACTCATCAACGAGTCGGAATTTGACCCCACGCTTCTGAAGAAAGTCGACATATATTCATTTGGGTGCACTATCATTGAGGTCAGTACATCGCAAGTCGCCTTGTGCACCAGGAATGACGGAGATCCAGATTTACACGGGCGAGCCGCCATATTCAGATTTGCGCACGGAGGGCGCGGTGGCGAAGCGCATTGCTTTGAAGGAGCTCCCTCCACAACCACCGTTCTTCCACCTTCTTTGTGGCATGCGGTTGTGGCCCCTTGCGTATCGCCATCACCAAAAGCTCAACCATCGGCGTGTGCAGTTTTAGATGCTTTGCACAGCTTGGACGCTGTGCGTAGGGAAAACATCGATACATGATAGCGTGCCTTCTAGCCTACCGCATAGCACGAAAGAACCGCTAGCCGACTCTCATCTTAACGTCAACTACATTATTTTTGTTATGCATTGAGTTGTATTCTTTATTCCCTTCTGTCTAGAGTCAATCGTCGATGACAAGCCTTCACCTGTACTTTATTACATCCGAACGGGTCTGCGTGCTTCAGGCATGAAGTTGTGGCCCGGACCTGATTGGTGGCCGGCCACGTAGGCGTAACGCAGCTCAATTTCTGCCACCCCAATCAGAAACACAGCCCATGTTCCTAGACTCTATGCAATGCTTGTGTGGCGTAAAGCTAGTTCCGGCATTTCATAGGCCTCTGGACAGAGAATATATTTGGAGAAGCCTCCAGATCGAACACATGAGAACGGCATCGGAAACGGTCTTGTTTTCCAATTTCCGGCGCTTAATCGAGGTGATGCGTTATTGTTCTGATAGGATGCCCCCACATGCGCTGATCAGTACCCAGGTCCGTACTGCCTCTGATCTATATAATAGCCGCATGTTAATGATTGTCTTGCTCTCTCCGCCATCTGAAGTCGTCGCTACACGACACAAGCATATCAGTTTCCCGAATTCGTCTGCCACGCCGCCTGCCTGTCGTATTACTTTCCATCTATCGCCGCAGTTACCAATAGTAATGAAGGTCGAGTACATCGACGACGTCGTGCCGCCAGCGCCACTGCCTACTACAGCTTTGGAAGCATCTCCATATTTCGCCCCTCTAGGCTACCCGAATTCGACCTCATCCCATGCGCAGAGATGCATAGTATCCACTCGGGTGCTACGTTCCGCCACCAGACGGTCAACAGCAGCAAGTGTCTCCTCTCAGCCACCGCCACTTCCTCGCCCCAGCAGAGTCAGAAGGGTGAAGAAGGAGCCCTTGGCTCAGGCTGAACACACTGAATCCGCGCTTTCGCTTAACGGTCGGGAGCCACCCCCAGCCCATGGCAACTACGTTAGCCTGTGTTACCGCAGAAAGCCCGTCTTCGAGTTTCCGCCTGGGAACACGTACATGCTGGAGGAGAGGCTGCGGTTCAAGGCGCTTCAGGCTCGTCGACAAGCAGAACTTTTAGGCTTGAAACCTAGCTTGAAGAAAAGTCGAGGGCGAGATGATACCAATGACGGAGTGAAAGAGAGACTAGTGAGAGGTAGGAAACGCGTGCGGTTTGGTGGCGGCAGTCTGGCGAAAAAGAGCAAGGTTGTGTCCGTCAAGCACGAGGACGCAGAGGACAGTGCGCTTTGGTTGAACATGCATGAGTTGAAGCTCTCTTGATAGCGGTCGAGTTCATATACACCTAAGTAAATGATTTGACGATGGAGATTGATGAAGACAAAGATTTGTTGCCGCAATCCGATCCTTGTCGTCATGCATGTCGTGAAAACTGTTAAGATATTACACAGAAGAACAAAAAAGGCTCAGAAGAGGAGCTACAAGTCATGCATTAGCGGGGAATCGAACCCCGAACGCGGCCATGGGAAGACCGCATGTTAACCATTACACCACTAATGCATTCCATAATTTTATTTTCACTGTTGTCCATCGGTCTCGACACAGTGAACAAGACTCGCTTTTGGGCTCATATCCACCGAAAAGCCAGATACACGGGTATGATCAAAAACAAAGCCGCCGCTGCGCCTCCGAGTACCAATTCCTTCGGTCCAGCTTGTGGGGCGTCCCAGTCTTTCGTAGTGGAAGACAGGTCCGACGTGTCTACAGATCTCTTCAATGACAGCGGAAGATAAGAGAAAATAAAACAAACACACGAAACTCTTTGAAGAGCTGCTCTGCACCGGGTGTGATAAGTTCGATTGTATTGCTTTCTGAGGAGATCGTCAGAGTTGGAAAGTAGAATTCACTAAGGATGGACCTTCTGACATCGTATCACTAGCCGACACTAAGGCTTTCCTGGTTTAAAGGGTGGTGGTGGTGGTTCGTCGCCAAGGTCTGTGCTGTGCGGTGTAGACGAAAGTGGTCTGCGGTAGTACAGGGTAAGGCGTTTGAGTCCGAGAAGGCGGGGGGATACCGTATCTAATAATGGGAGCTAGGTCATCGGTGAACGAGGTTGCTTCACACGATCAATTTGGTATCCCCATGTCGCGTAGATTGCCAACGTCAGCCAACGTTACTTACTACAAGATAGGTTTTGTACCGCTCTTCGCAGAATCGCGTCAATGCTCTCTCGTTACACCTACGGGAGTAACCCAGAGAAAGTATTACTTGCTCCACATGGGTGAGTATGAGTATGAGTATGAGTTGGGGCTAACACTCCTGTCACATTTATAGTTTCAGTCGTGCTCCGGCGCCCGTGTGAAGGAGGAAAGAAAACGTGTTAGTACTGTGCGCGTCTGTGGACATACGATCACAGTTTATACTCCCTCGCCTTCCACCTGGTACCGTGGTCATGCTTCATCGAAGCTATCGTCACTGCTCGCGGCATAGTTACCTGAAACGCCTGTTTGGACGCGGCACTCTCCATCAGATGACCACGCCTTGAATGAGCGAAATCATCAACTCCATTGCCCGGGACCAATTGAACCATTTGGCGTACAGATTTCCTGGCGATGTTAAAGGCTCTCTGATTCGGTTGAAGGAATCGTGTTTGACTACGAAAGGATAGCGCTGTAAGTAGATTCGGTGTCAGCGCGTACGCTGACTGCTTGATTGGTACAGTGATCATCTTACGGGTGAGGCGATGTAGACGAGCAGCAGGGTACTGTAGCAGGACTACTAGTAGGTGCGGTTCACGTTCCTCTGATGAAGCCATGTGGCGACTGGATTGAATACAATACTTGGGGCCACTATGCTGTGTAGGGCGCTTCTTCTAATACGTACGGAGGCACGTACGCTTAGAAGCGGTGCCAATTGCTGTTGTCATCTTCCTATCATGCCGCGGGAAGGCGCTGCATATACATCAATGCTCTCTCCTCAAATCATCTTGCGCTCAGACACTACACGCCAGTGCCAGTGTCTATGAACGCCTCTCAGCGATGGGCTCAACTCAGAAGTACCAATCGTCAAACAATTCAGGCCATCCTAGGGCTATCTGCTCCGTGGCGAGGTATCGATAAGGTATCGGAGAACCTTGCAGATGCAGTGATGGACGAGCTGCAGTCGGTACGTGTTTGAGCACATCTCAATTCGTCTGCTGATGCCGCAATAGGAGCTGGACCTCATGCCTGCGTCAGACCATGAGTATCGCAGGACGTGCATCAAGTGCCTTAGCGCACTAAGCAAGAGATACAATGCATTACCTTCCCGACTTTACATCCCGGTGTCATCTCTCGAGATATACGACGACGTGAGCTATTCCGGAGGTGCATTCTCGGTGAGCATGGTTTGTTCTGGTTAGTTAGGGACGCCAGAGCTGATGAGGACTCAAGGATATTTATCGCGGCACATTGCAAGAATACGGCGCGGTGTGTCTGAAGATTCTGCGAACGCATACGCAGGGAAGGCTGCGTGCGGAACAAGTCGTAAGAGTAAGGAAAATGTTGCTGCCCATTTCTTTAACGCTAACTATTATGTGCTTCATAGGCATTCTGTCAAGAAGCTCTAATCTGGAGGCAAGTCCGGCATGAGAGCATTCTCCCATTTCTGGGGGTGACCCAATTCGTACCGTGGCGCCTATGCTTGATCTCCCCGTGGATGGATAATGGGAACATCATGACCTTTCTACAGAAAAACCCCCTCCATAATCGCCTAGGATGTGTACGCTCCTTTTACTTCCTGCTATGCCTCGCATACTAATTTACATTATTTAGGTCTGGGACGTTGCCGCAGGGATGCAGTATTTACACAGTCTGGATCCGTGTATAATCCACAAAGACATTCGAGGCGTACGTCACAATATCTCGCAGTTATCGAAACACGTTAACGAGTGTTCTCTGTAGGCAAATATCCTCGTCGGAGACGATCTTCACTGTTACCTCGCCGACTTTGGCATAAGCCTCGTTCTTGAAAAGACCGAAATGCCAGGCTCTTCGTGGCGTGGCCGAGGAAATATCCGATGGCTTGCCCCAGAAATCGTGTTCGATCCAGAGTCCGACCCCAGCCTTCTTCGAGAGGTAGACTTGTATTCGTTTGGTTGTACCATCATCGAAGTATGTAGCTGCCTTTTATCGGTTGTTGATTCCATCTTCTGAACACTGTATAGATCTACACGGGTCGGCCACCTCACGCGGACTTGCGCAATGATGCAGCGGTGATCAACCGATTAGCATTAGGAAAGGTTCATTCGCAGCCCGCACCGCATATCCTGCGACCGGATCTTTGGAATATGGTTGTAATCCACTGCATCTCCCCATCACCACAAAAGCGGCCGGCAGCAGGCGCGATACTTGACGCATTGTTGCGATTAGACTTGGAGTATCTGAACCAGTATCGAGCGGCGAGGTACCGCGGCGCAGCATTGGCGGATTCGCCGACTCTAAAGCAATACATCCATAGTCTTTCGCGCTCACCCTCGCCGCCGATGTCCATGTCGCTGTCCTCGACATTCGTGGCTTTCAACATCGTCCCGGTTAATCATTCCAGAATGTTGGAGGCAGCACCAACAAACGATAATTCTAGAATGGCCCACGAGAGCGACGCGAAGTCAGAAGAGGATGCATATTTGCGAACGCTTCGGGCGTCGTGTATCGGTGAGTAGTGTCTCTTCTTGCCATACTTGTGACTAAGCTTGCCCAGCGAGTTATCCATCCCAAAATACGCCTTGGCATTACGATGATACCTTCGAAGAGAGGCCCAGCACCCCCATGTTGGATCGCGAACCCAGTCCTTTCGATACACCGCCCAGCCAGTTCCTTTCTACTCCGGAAAAATATGACTTGCACGATTTTGACCAAATGGTATCTTGGCCATCATCCGCCGCTTCGGGGTCTGCGCGTTGTATGGACGAAGAACCCATCTTCGACGGTGTTCCTGATATTGTGGGAGTATCGGACTACAACGATGTGGAAAGGTCATACGTTCAGCCCAACTTTAGTCACGACACACAGTACTATTATAGTCCTGCCACGTACTGATACATGTAAAATCGCGTTGCGGTAGGACTACACGTAGAAAAACACGTACATGTTGTTCAGTCAAGCAATGAAAAGCAAATCTGTATCCATAGGATGTGAACTAGACAACTAACGAGCTAAGGTCAGCAGAACGGACAACTCGAAGGAAGGCTGCGAGTACCTGAGGCTTCTGGCTGTACTCCTTCGCCAGAATGTCCCGAATGCTGTTCAAAAGTTGCATATAGCTTTGATTCGGATTCTGTGTAAGCACAGTCACAAAAGCCTGCCGCATGTAAATCAGGTTTTGTCAATTCACGAAGATGAAGATGGATGGCGACTTACATAACTCATTGCCCCAGTAGCGCGCCCAGCTTCTTGGGTATCAGCACTTGTCTGCGAGTCCTTGCATCCACTCCAGGAGATCACATCGGCGGGGCTCGTCTTCGTTGCCCTAGTGTATTCCTCTGCCTCCTTGCTTTCGCCTGCCCCTGTAACCGTCTTGAAGATGCCCATCGCAGATTGAAACATTCCGCCGGTATCTCCTCGAGCATACGACGAAACTGCAGAGAGAAGGCCTTCTCCCGCTTCGGCTATGAGGTTGGGTTCTTTGATTTTGCCTTCGGTCGAGTACTTGATCGTCGTCAGGACTAGGCAAGGATAGGCGGGAAGGAAAGAAGATATGGACGTACAACGTAAGGTAAATCTGTGGCAGTCGTCTATCAAAACAGCTGATGAAGTGACAGCGTCTCAAGCTCTCACCTAGGGCGGTCGCCGAATGGCATGACTGTTACATAGCGTAAGTACGAAACGTTGATAAGACTCCAGATGCAGAACCGATGATAACACATACGTCGAATATGGCTGTAAGACGGCAACCTGCCGGTAATGGCTTGACCAGAATGTCATGGAGGTCCTGCAAGTATAATTCAATTCCGAGGTTTTCCTCCCCTCTGCTTTGACACCCACGTCGTCGACAATATGACCGCTCTCTTGGAAGTCGACCTATTGATGGGAACCAATATGAAGATGGATTCAAGGTATATGAAGTGGCCCACGTACAGGATAGATCACTGGCGAAGATCATGAGTTTAGATAGCACTACATCTCGAATGAAATGGACCAAACCTTCGTCATATCCATCAGCTTCATCGCCGTTCGTGTCTTCCACGTTTCCGCCATGACCAGAATCTGTTCGCAATTAGCTGGTCAGAAATGTACCCCAGAGGCAAGAACACTGACAGTGAAAAAATAACGAGTCGTTGGGCTGCGCATCCCGCACGAGCCACTGCATCGCGTTGATCTGTGAAGGCATCCTCAGCCCTCGAAAGGATACAGAAAACAAGGGGTATACTACCATGTTTTGCCTGGTTGGAATGCGAACGGGGTCTCGAGAATCGTCGGTGAGCATTACAATATCGTCTGGTTGGTACCCATATTGTTCTGTAATTCGCGCCGTTGGGGCTCAACTCATCAGGGGACAACACAGTAAGGGTTACATACGACAGA